ACCCATTTTCTGTACAAGAAGTCAGAACGAGTGAACAATTATTTTAATTACTACTAATACAGATAAAATGAACTATTATAGATATACAGGGTGATTTTTTTATCATAACCCACTCAATTACTTACAGAATAATAATAATTTAAAATTTAGCAGGTACACAATTTTTAATGAAACTTAATTTGTTTATTAGATATAAACATTTAAAGTCTCAAATTTTTGAGTAATATATAGGTATAATACACAAGGGATTACANTCAAATTTTTGAGTTAATATATAGGTATAATACACAAGGGATTACAAATACAGGTAGCTAATTGATTTTTTATGACATCGATATTAGTACACAGCATTGTTATTATCAATGATAGTAAGGTACATTGTTGTGAGTTTATAAATACACTAACTGACAATACAAAAAGTATATCTATTGATAGTCATAATTGATAATAAACAATCCGTGACTGTGATAGCAATATCATAAAAAACTAATTAGCTACCTGTATTTGTAATCCCTTGTGTATTATACCTATATATTATCTCAAAAATTTGAAACTTTAAATGTTTATATCTAATAAACAAATTAAGTTTTATTAAAAATTCAAATGCCATTTACTATTAAATTAAAAACTCAAACATTTTATTAAATTAAAAATATGTATTACCATTTAAAAAAACAAAGTTGACACCCTTACCAGGCATAAGGGATGAACTTAAAAAGTATTACATAGTTAATAATTCAAGAATAATGTGTAACTAAAGATAATAATAAAAAAAATATTTTTAATTATTATTATTATATAAGTAATTGAGTGGGTTATGATAAAAAAATCACCCCGTATACACATTATTTTGTTGAATATAATAATTTCTAATACACTTATTTTTCATGAGACCAATGAACTATTTACGAATATTGAAAATCAAACTTTAGTAACCAAAGACAATTTAAACATGTTCATAAAAGCATTAATAATTTTAGAACTTTACTTGTTATATATACAAACGAACAATTGTAAATAATAAAAGTGTTGCGGTTTTATATTTATAGAAAAAATACCTTGTAATTTAATATATATATATATATATATACGAATAATTATATAGTACTATTACAAATATTTTAAACGAATTTACAGAATTTCTGTGCAAGGAGTTATAACAAGTGAATAATTATTTTAATTACTACTTATTACAGGTAAGATGAATTATTATGGAAATATACACATTATTTTGTTGAATATAATAATTTCAAATGCACTTATTGTTCATGAGAAAAATGAACTATTTACGAATATTGAAAATCAAACTTTAGTAACCAATGACGATTTAAATAATCTCATAAGAGAAAATCTACCATTTCTTAAGCTAATTTTATGAGAAAATAAATACTACACTGGTAGTGATGCATCTCTTTGTCCTCTACCTTATGATGAAAATACACTGTTGGATGATCCTGATATTGAGAAATTAGAATTTTTCGACCCGAGAGAATATAAAAAGCCGTGGACGTGGACGCAACAAAATCAAATTATTGTTCCTGTCCCAAAAGATTTTACCATTAACAAAAAGTTAGGAGATCTAGTTCGTCAAGATAGCAATTTAAAAATTATTCAGAAGTATACTTATTACCTGAATACTATCGAAAGTGTTGGAATAACTTTAGTCGACAGATTTTGTTTATTTTTAGTTGAAGCCATTGATAGAATCGATAGTTTCTCTTTTGTTATATTATCTATTGATTTTTCTGAATTAAATATAGATCACATGAAATTTAATTTAATCGTATATAACTTTAAATTGCTGTGGAAATATATTTACAATACATTTAAGAAATACTTCATTTCTACATTACCTCTTGACTGTATTTCGAATATTTTGAAGAAGATTGTTCCAAATGATGAGATAAAAGAATGTTTACAAATACTAATTAAAAAAGAAAATAAAGACCAATACAGAGCACAATCATTAGAATGCATGAAACTAACAAATTTAAAAAGAAACTATGCTATTCTTGTAAATGATTGCGTGTGGGGTGATTTTACTAAAAGGGCATTACCTACCATTGATAAATTAATACAATTACAACATGTTAATATTTGTAGGGGAAGTGAACTTTTTAATATGAATATCAATAATGTTGTAAGCATCAATGTACAGGTTAAGAATACATAATTATAATTGTTCAATTATTTTTTATAAAAATAATATTAAATACTACATTAAACTCTTATCTAAAATTATCATATAAATTAAGCATAATTTGTTGATTTATATTTAAATGATTATTATTATTAAATACTATATCATTGGTAAGCGGGATCATTAATCGTAATAAATCGAACGCTCACTTTTCGTATAATTAATATGATATATTTAATTTTTAAATCAATATAATTAACATTAAATTTATATTAAATATGAGTAATTACTACAAAATGTTAGTATCTCTTTTTTTAGTTCGTATAATTAAAATTTAAAATCATACTGCTGACAGTTCAGTGGTGGATCGTACACTAATGGGTATACAAAAAGCCGGCCGGCTGTTATTAGATAACAACAAAAAAAAATAGTGCAATAAAAATATATGCAAGTCGTCAACACACTCTGTATAATGTTATTAAACATGTAATGTTATAAAAAATTTTTTGTGATATTATTATTTTTAAAATAAGTTCAGAAATTGCTGGTCCAAAAGTTGTTATCACCTCGTCAATTGCGGGTAGATGAACATGACTACCGATTGTCAGTTATATTTTAAGTGCGTGGTGGTTTCTTGAAATACAGATTACATATTACTTATGAATGGCGTTGATGGAAAAATATGTATTAAAAAAAATCTGTTTAAAACATAAAATTTATGTTTAATATTTATGTTAAACTTTATATTTAATATATAATTTAAAACGTAACTAATGTGGTGTTAATTGCATTGGATAGTCTTATATATTTATTTTACTTCACTTTAGTTTCTAATATTTTTTTGTAAATAATTAATTAATGAGTCATTGAACAATTTCTAAAAAAACAATGAAATGAAAAACTTAATAGCTTTTTTATTATTAGTATTTAATTAAATTTTTGAAAAATGCAGACAATAAACGTTTTTTGTTATTTTGAAAAAATAAATAAATCAATTAATGAGTATTTTATTCACTTATTCAACTGTATTTTTCAATTAGTATAAAAATCATGACGCTCTTTTTCCAACATTTAACAGTATGCTCCATGTCACTTTAATTTCGAACTGACATCATACATTAAACAACCAAAAAACAAAATAAAAATATTATTGATTTTTATGTCATCAAAAACTTTTATTTTAGGATCGATTTTACGCATAAAAAAACGGTAGCACAGTGGGGTCGAGGCACAGTGTGGACGAGGCATAGATGGGACAAGTATAGATGATATCTGACAGTGATTAAAATCACTATCATAAGAAACGCTTCGATGCAAATCTGTAGATAGTGTTTCCTTTAGAGAAATTGGTGAAATATTTTAAAAGCAACATGAACTCTTATTTCTTTAATTATATCCTGATTAGTAGTTCTTTGATTTTAAAATATAATATATGAATAAATACTAATTATAGTTTTTAAATTTAGTATGAAATTGTGAGGCCAGCTATGATGTATAGTTCATAGTGTTGGGCGGTTGATAAGAAAGTAGAGCAGAGAATAAGTGTAGCGGAGATAAGAATGCTTAGTTGGATGAGTGGAGTGACTAGAGAAGATAGGATAAGGAACGAGCATATAAGTAAGAGGAAGTTGGGTTAATCAATCGTGGATAAGATGACAGAAAATAGACTTAGATTGTTTAGTCATGTTATGAGGAGAGAGAATGGGAAGCTTGTAAGAANAGAAGAATCGGAAGCTGTAAGAACAGTTATAGAAATGAATGTTGAAGGAAGAAGAGATAGAGGAAGACCAAAAAAGAGATGGAGGGATGCTATTGAATGCGATTTGAGGACAGCTGATGTGAGCGTAGAAAATGTGGGAGATCGTGTCAAGTGGAAGCTTAGGATAAGGGTGGCCGACCCCAAGTATGCGTGTGACCATCACTCACTAAAAGTGTTGGCCAATTTAGCTCAGCGATGCAATTGGCTTAACAAACTTAATGTAATATCATAACAATTTTTTTTAGTCAAAATCTAACCACTTGTTACATTGTCATGTTATTCCACGTAGATAATGGCGTAAAAGTACAAGAATTTATTTTTAATGCCTCGATGTTTCCGGCATTTTGTGTTTGCCCGTACTCTGTTAACCCCATATTAGTGTATCTCCGTGTTAATGTACACGTATTTAACATAACGTTGATATTGTTGGCAGTGACAGGCTTTCCGGAGGAGGTGCTATCGAAATGCATGAACCGTATAGATTTTACCATCTGCATCGTATTGCGGTGAGCTGAGTCTTCAGACCAAAGGCGGTGGTGGCGACGGCACGTGACAAGTCCGGTAATCCTTCTGGGCGGTGCAGTTTGAGTGACAACCGCGTCGTAAACTGGCCACGCGACCGCGTTGCGCAAAACTGTGCACGTGGGCTTTCTACATTATATACATTATTATTATTTTCGTTTAATTTGTGGTTTTCGGTAGTCTGAGAAGGAGCTGAAAACATTGACGTATTGTGTTGGAGACGCATTAAACCGACTCTTCTCTTTATTGTATTAACGCGCATCTTGTCGCAGGCGACTGCCTCCTATCACGGCTTTGAAAACATTACCCACTACTACAAATACTAACCGTGTAACTTGTGACTCACATGTCATGTAGGGGAAGAAGCTGCAACATAGACTATACATAGAGTATTATTTTAAATGACAAATAATAAATTAGCAATTTCACCAACAATTGTTATTAAACTACTTCTAAATAATCACACAGTTAACTGTTTATTATTTAGTAATAATATACAAGGTGATTATTGTAGCCACACAATTTTTCTTTAAAAAATAATTTTTTTGTGAATTTTTTATTTTTTGGCTTTTGTTAATTTCATTTATTTCTTCATTTAAACATTAAAATATTTTTATGTTCATCTCATATGTCTTAACGGTAGTGTCAACTTAATTTTTTTAAATAAAAGCATACATATTTACATGATTTCTAAAATAGAAAATTATCTAATTAAGAAAATAACAAGACGAGAGAAACTTTTGAAACATTATTTCAGAAGTTATTATAAGTTTAAAGTAATGACTGGTGATCAGGGTAGGGCTACTATTCTTATCATTAAACATTTCTTGTCCTCACTCCTCCTCCCACCAAGGTATAAAAATGTTAATAACTACAGAAATAATGGTCAAAAAGTTGTTAGCAAGTCAATTTTATATATTTTTCTTGTTTTAAATTAACCACATGCTTATAAAATTAACAATTGTTTTTGTTTTATTTTTAGAGTTAAAATGTTTTTAAATTATGATATAGCATTTAATAATAAATATTTAAATATGAATAAACGAACCATGCTTAATTATATAACAAAACATAAGAGTATAATGTAATATTTAATATCATTTTCATAAAAAATAATTGAAAAATTATAATAATTTATACATAAACCTTTAAACTAATGGTTTTAAAATTTTCTGTCACATTAAAAATTTCAGCTCCCTTTCTAATATTGACATGTTGTAATTTTATTAATTCATCAATGTTAAGTATTGCCTTTAGAGCTTCATCATTCCATAAGTCATCATTTACAAGAACAGCATAGTTTCTTTTTAAATTTGTTAGTTTCATGCATTCTAATAATTGTGCTCTGTATTGGTCTTTATTTTCTTTATTAATTAGTATATCAGTCCATTTTTGTATATCACCTTTTGGAGCAATCTTAAACAGAGTATTAAAAATACATTCAAGGGGTAATGTAGAAATGAAGTATTTCTTAAATATTTTATAAATATGTTTAAATAATTTCATATAGTTAAAAATACTGAAATTCATTTTTAAATGATCAAAATTTGCTTCCGAAGAATCAAAAACTACTTTATCATCAGAGAAACTATCGATTCTATCAATGGCTTCAACTAAAAACAAACAAAATCTATCGGCTAAAGTTATTCCAACACTTTCCATTGTATTCAGGTAATAAGTATACTTCTGAATAATTTTTAAATTGCTATCTTGACGAACTAGATCTCCTAACTTTTTGTTAATGGTAAAATCTTTTGGGACAGGAACAATAATTTGATTTTGTTGTGTCCAAGACCACGGCTTTTTATATTCTCTTGGGTCGAAATATTTTAATTTCTCAACATCAGGATCATCCAACAGTGTATTTTCATCATAAGGTAGAGGACAAAGAGATGCATCACTACCAGTGTAGTATTTATTTTCTCGTAAAATTAGCTTAAGAAATGGTAGATTTTCTCTTATGAGATTATTTAAATCGTCATTGGTTACTAAAGTTTGATTTTCAATATTCGTAAATAGTTCATTTTTCTCATGAACAATAAGTGCATTTGAAATTATTATATTCAACAAAATAATGTGTATATTTCTATAATAATTCATTTTACTTGTATTAGTGGTAGTTTAAATGATTATTCACTTGTTATAACTTCTTGCACAGAAATTAGGTAAATTCATGAAATATATGATTGAAACATTAATGAAATTATAGTAATTTAATTTTAAAAGGGTATTATATGTTTTATATATTTTATTAATAATAGACTTTTCTTTTTAAATGATTTAGACGTTAACTTATTTTTATTCTAAATAAATAATGTAAACATAACAAGTGTTCGACTATTTGTTAAACATTAATCATCGACAATATAATTTTTTTTTTTTTAATTTTCTTAATTTTTATAAATAAATAGTTTTATTTATTAGAATTTTGAGAAGTATTTAGCTACCCTTACCATACTACGCTTTAAGATAAAAACCAGTAGTTTTCACATACTTTTTTCGAATTTATATATTTTTTATATTGAACAACAATATTAAAGTGAATTACTTCTTAGTTTCAAGAAATAAATAATATATTATTGAGCTCTTGTTATATTACTAATGCTAATAATAGTATTGAATAATTATGCGTAAAAATGTTTTTTTTTATACACCTCAAGGTTTTTTTCCTATAAATACAAAACTACAATAATTTTATTATTTACAAGTAATCTTTTGTTCATATAACAAATAAAGTAATAAATGTTCTTAAAATGAATGTATTGACACAGCACGGCAAAATGTAGTCAGACTAACTTTTTCAAAAATTTTTTAGTGCAATATTCAGATTTAAACTTAAATTTTCCTATAATATTTAATAATATGTTTTTCATTATTTTAATTAATTAGTTTTAGAAACATCAATTGAGATTTGAACAAGTTTTGAACTAATCATTATTAGTACATTATCACAGTATTTCATTTCAGTTTTAATATCATAAGTAATATAATTTATTTTGGTGCTAGAAAAACAATTTTGCTCGTTTTTCTTTTTTAGATGCTTTAGTAATTCTTTTTTAAATTTGCAATTGTTTAAAAACGATTATCTCAAATTTTCTTAAAATAATATTTTCTTTCATTAATGGTATAATACTATAACAATAATATTAATTTAAAATAATATGTTATATTTAATGTTTTGAAGATTTAACTTTTAGCTTCGATGCGAAGCTGAGAATGTATTAATTTTACCATGATGTGTTTATTTATTTATTTATTTTTTTTTTTGTGTCTGTCACTACTTTTTCTCAGCTCTCACTGGACCGATTTCTTTCAACAATACGTCAAAAGATCACAAATCGTATCTTGTTGAAGACATTACCCTTAAAAATTGAAAAATTTTCCTTCGTTCCCCGCAAATGGGGGAAATATCCAAAAAATTACAAATTTAAAAATAGGTAAATTTTGTCATTTTTTTCACTTTTTTTTCTTAAAACTTCCATAACTTTTTCAAAAATAAATAAATCAACATTATTTTTTTTTTATACTAAAACCTTAGATATTTTCCTTTCATTTGATATAATTTTTTTGAAAATTTAACTCTTAACCTGCTCATGGGGGGGGATTTAAAATTGCAACTTTTTTACAAAAACTAACTTTTTCAACTTAATTTTTGAAAATGTTCCGGAAATACTGCGTCCTTTAAACATATATCAAATTAAAGCTTAATTTTATGTACTATAAAATGAAAAAAAAAATTTGTCCCGACGACCTATCTTCTATGCGCAAAAGGCTACCGTATTCAAAAACATGCTATTTTTTTATTAAAATTCTGGGTNATTTTGTCATTTTTTTCACTTTTTTTTCTTAAAACTTCCATAACTTTTTCAAAAATAAATAAATCAACATTATTTTTTTTTTATCTAAAACCTTAGATATTTTCCTTTCATTTGATATAATTTTTTTGAAAATTTAACACTTAACCTGCTCATGGGGGGGGATTTAAAATTGCAACTTTTTTACAAAAACTAACTTTTTCAACTTAATTTTTGAAAATGTTCCGGAAATACTGCGTCCTTTAAACATATATCAAATTAAAGCTTATTTTATGTACTATAAAATGAAAAAAAAAAATTTGTCCCGACACTTTATCTTCTGCATGTAAACGGTTGCCGTAGTTAAAAAAACACTATTTTTGTGTTAAAATTTTCGATTTTCGATTTTTAATTTTCAACTTAAAAATGCTATAACTTTTCGAAAAATGCATGTATCAGCACAATTTTTTTTTTTCTAAATACATTATAAGTACATCTTCCATTTGACATACTTTTTATTAAAATTAGACAATTTCCCCTTATATAGGGGGGGTTCAAACTTTGAAACATTGTATAAAAAATAGAACTTTTTCAACTGAACTTTTGAAAATGTTCCGGAAATACTGCGTCCTTTAAACATATATCAAATTAAAGCTTTTTTTATGTACTATAAAATGAAAAAAAAAAATTTGTCCCGACACCTTATCTTCTATGTGCAAATGGCTGTCGAAATTATAAAAAAAATGTAATATTTGCGATAAAAATCACCTTTTATAACGATGTTTTTTGTACTTAAAACTGCCATAACTTTTTCAAATATTAACTAATCAAAATAATATTTCTTTATATTGAAACCTTAGGTAATTTTCTTTCATTTGATATCATTTTTTTTTGAAAATCTAACACTTAACCTGCTCACAAGGGGGATTTAAAATAGCAACTTTTTTACAAAAACTAACTTTTTCAACTTAATTTTTGAAAATGTTTCGGAAATCCTGCGACCTTTAAACATATATCAAATTAAAGCTTATTTTNCGGAAATACTGCGTCCCTTTAAACATATATCAAATTAAAGTTTATTTTATGTGCTATAAAATGAAAAAAAAAATTAGTCCCGACACTTTATCTTCTGCATGTAAACGGCTGACGTAGTTAAAAAAACGCTATTTTTGTGTTAAAATTTTCGATTTTAAATTTTCAACTTAAAAATGCTATAACTTTTCAAAAAATGTAAATATCAGCACAATTTTTTTTTTTCTAAATATATGATAAGTACATCTTTCATTTGACATACTTTTTATTAAAATTAGACAATTTCCCCTTATATAGGGGGTGCTCAAAACTTGAAACATTGTATAAAAAATAGAACATTTTCAATTGAACTTTTGAAAATGTTCCGCAAATACTGCATCCTTTAAACATGTATCAAATTAAAGCTTATTTTATGTACTATAAAATGAAAAAAATAAAATTTGTTCCGACACCTTATCTTCTATGTGCAAATGGCTGTCGAAATTTAAAAAAAAATGTAATGTTTGCGATAAAAATCACCTCCTATCGGAATATTTTTTGTACTTAAAACTCCCATAACTTTTTCAAATATTAACAAATCAAAATAAAATTTTTTTATATTAAAACCTTAGATATTTCCCTTTAATTTGATATCATTTTTTTGAAAATCTAACACTTAACCTGCTCATGGGCGAGGATTTAAAATAGCAACTTTTTAACAAAAACTAACTTTTTCAATTTAATTTTTGAAAATGTTCCGGAAATACTGCGTCCTTTAAACATATATCAAATTAAAGCTTATTTCATGTACTATAAAATTAAAAAAAAAAATTTGTCCCGACACCTTATCTTCTATGTGCAAATGGCTGTCGAAATTATAAAAAAAATGTAATATTTGCGATAAAAATCACCTTTTATAACGATGTTTTTTGTACTTAAAACTGCCATAACTTTTTCAAATATTAACTAATCAAAATAATATTTCTTTATATTGAAACCTTAGGTAATTTTCTTTCATTTGATATCATTTTTTTTTGAAAATCTAACACTTATTCTGCTCACAGGGGGGATTTAAAATAGCAACTTTTTTACAAAAACTAACTTTTTCAACTTAATTTTTGAAAATGTTCCGGAAATACTGCGTCCTTTAAACATATGTCAAATTAAAGCTTATGTCATGTACTATAAAATTAAAAAAAAAAATTTGTCCCGACGACCTATCTTCTATGCGCAATGGCTACTGTATTCAAAAATATGCTATTTTTTTATTAAAATTCTGGGTTTTGTATTTTATTTTATTTTAAAATATCTTATAAGGACATTACACTGACTTTTATGAATATTATATAATTTAATTGACATAGAATAAAGTTCATAAGACATAAGAAATTAAACTTATTAAATTTTTTAATTTTTTAAAGTCGAAAAAGTATTTTTAAATTTGAATTAGCTTAAATAGCCAATTTTATCATGCGTCGAGAGCAACAAACAGTTGCCGAATTAGTAACACTTGTGTCCTTCACGCATAGGGTACGAGGTTCAAATCCATCTGTGCAATTAATATTTTGCATTTTTTTTTTTTANATCCGTTTGTGGCTTCTAAAATTTTGCATTTTTTTTTTGAGTTAGAATAGAATTTTCAAATCATTTGATATTTATCTCATTTAGATTCAATAATTTCAATAAATATAAAGGATCTTATCACTATAGTCTCCCCTCGTGAGAAGAAATTGATATTCATGTTAATATTATTTTACTATGTGGTTCTTTTTCTGGCTACGATTTATTTTGCCAACCCTCACTAGACCTACTTTTTTCAACGATACGTCAAATGATTCATTTAAGTTTATGATATTTAAGTTAATGATTAGTTTAAGTTATTACTCTTAAAAATCAAAAAAATATTCCTTATTCAAATAAAAAGTAGCTTAACTAGATTTGTCCATACAAACAATTAAAATCATTAATTTTTAATATTCTTAAATTATTTATTGTCGAATTAAATTTGATATGATAAAAGTTTTCAACTACAAAAGTAAATAATTTTATTTTGTAATTTATTAATTTTTTATCTCTATTTGTGTGTGCTACTACCAGTCTATAACACTCCAAATTTTTTAGTAATATGTTGCTATATAAATCATAAATTTAAAAAAAAAATGATTTTTAGTTTCACCTGAAGTTAACGATGGAGTTNCCAAATTTTTTTGTAATATGTTGCTATATAAATCATAAATTTAAAAAAAATGATTTTTAGTTTCACCTGAATTTAACGATGGATTTTTACAATTATTTTCAAATATTATAATATGCTCAATTGATTGAGTAAATCTTTTTAACTACTTTGGTTTGATTGGTTCATTTAATTAAAGTAAATTATTAAAATTAATTAAGTTCTGAATATTTCAATTGCAGAATTTTTTTAAACACCAAAAGTTATTAGGATATGATTACTATTCTTTCTAT